AGGCTACTGCAAGGACATATGACCAAATGAGAGCTGATATGCAGACTTTCACACACAATTTTAAATACTCAAGTGTGTACACTGCCTCACAATGGCACTCCCACATATGTATACAGTGACTGCCTTTTCAAGCCAGATGTAAGTAGGATTAGTGAAATTGGCAGAGAGTACAGAGCTCTTTATCCACTGGAGCTAATTCACTTTACTACAGTGGCGTTTTCTAGCTTTTCAGTCTTCATCTTTTGATTTCTCTCTCTGTTCCTTTGTTCTCTTAACATTTCTGTCAAATTTCCATCTAATCCCATCACTTTTATGCCATACCCATTTGCCTTCAGCTGAATCATTTTGCTGCCGAACTGAGGCAAGGAACTGAGAGCAGGTAATAATATGTCGCTTTGTGAAGGCTTTCTGAAAAATTAAAATGTTAAATGCTCCAACAGAAGGGGTATTGCATGTAATTATTGTACTTGTCATTAATAAATATTACAACTGCCCTTCTTTTCTGACCCCTCCATCCAAGATAGAAATCTATTGGCCCTACACCAATGGAGGAGCAGTCTATCACAGTGTGCCACAGGTGGATAGTTTTGTCCATAAAGTGCAGTAGTTTGTCAATGTCCTTTTTTCTGCCACTGTCTCTTTACAAAGTCCAGCCTTTGCCATTGTGGTCGGCATATGTGTATCCCATCTTGCTCTTGGTTGTGTCTGTAAGGATCTGTTTAATCCCCCTTGGATCAAAATCTCTTTAAGGTTTTTGTCTAGTTCATCGTCAGTTTTCTCTTAGAGAAGGAAAAATCAAAGCAGTAGTCAAAGTATTATGACTGTCCTGCAAATCTTTGAACGTTGATGCATCCTGTCTGAGTAACATATTTGGTTAACCTGAGGTTCGAATACAGACTGAGTTTTTAAAGCTTCAACATTTTACCTTTCTCTTTAAGGCAGGGTTTATAACACTGAACGAGTTTTTGCCCTTTTCGATCTGATTCTCCAGTTGTGTGAGAATTTTTTCTATCAGGCTGAGCTTAACCCTTGTCTTGCTTCCTACATAGTGTAGTATACAGGGGATAACGAAGGGCAATTAGCGTCTCATGACCACCTCCTGAAGCAGAGCATCTTTGAGCCGATATACCTGAATCTCACATACTGTGTACCGGGTATGTGAAAATAAGAGAGTTTCTTCTTCCTCTTGAATATTGAAGAATCCGACCAGCGCCATCTCCCGGCGCTGCATCCAACGTTTGGTTTCTGGACATGAGGTGTTAGCTCGGTAGATTGCTTTAGAGCGTCAGTGTAAGGACATACATTGTGAGCTGTGAACCTTTAAACCTTGTGGTTTCGCCGAACAGTTTGAGCTGCAGCTGAGTAAAACAATTTCAAATATTGTACAGTGTATGCCCAGCTTTAGCCTTGGTCCTCAAGGCTCACTGTCCTTCGGGTTTTAGATGTGTTTCTACTCCAGCCCGCCATGATTCAAATGATTACCTTACCTCGTCGGCAGCCATCACATGCTGCAAAAGCCTGTTGATCACCTTCTTATTCAGACTTAGACAGTCTTAGACTTAGACAGTCTTAGACTTAGACAGTTTTATTTTGTCATTTTGTATACACAAGTGTAAACAAAAAGAAATTTCTCTTAAAACAGCTCTTGACAATTTCATTTTTTCGAAAAAAAAAACAGTAATATAAACATATGACTGTATATTTACAGTTCTAACATTAACTTTTTTTTTTGATAAATAAAATAACCCATTTTACACAACATTCAGCAGTCTAATGGCAGTGGGGAAGATACTGTTATGGAATCTGCTGGACCTGCATCCAATGCTTCGAAGTCTCTTCCCAGAGGGCAGCAGGGAGAACGGTCCATGGTGAGAGTGTGAGGATCATCTATGATGGGCTCGGGACACGCAGCGCTGGGATGAAATGTCTTTAATGGAGGGAGGAGGAGCCCCGATGATCTTCTCTGCAGTTGTCACCACTCTTCTCACCTTCTTCCAGTCTGAGGCGCTGCAGCCTCCACACCACACAGTGAGACAGTGGACAGTATATAGTATTAAATTAAGCACAAAGTGTCTCAAGAATATTGATTGTGGATGTAAATAGGTTGAGAAGCAAAGTTTAGGGATACTTTTTCAAAAACACACATACATTGTATCATTCATCACAAAAGATAAGGCAACAAACAGCAACCAGGTACTTTATACATTTTGGAATCACTACAACAATGGCTGATAACATGTTTTTAGTCTTTCCTGATAATTAATCCATACATCGAGAGATCACCTAGCTCAAAGACCAATATAGATATATATTTAGGTTTGAGAATTTTTTTAGAATTTAAAGATAGCCCATGCAGCAGCCTGTTAGCAGCCTCGTGTTCTCCTTTCCTACTGTCCTTTGGAATGAGCAGGCCCCTGCTTAAAACCTTCTATGACTGTGTGGTGGCATCAGCCCTCCTTTAAGCTGTCGTCTGCTGGGCCCCTGGCAGCGCAAGCAAACTGGTGAGAAAGGCCGTTGCTGTACTGGGCTGCAACCTGGACTCAGTGGAGGAAGTGGCTGAGAGGAGGTTGCCTACATCCATGATGGACAACACCTTCCACCCTCTGCAAAAGACTGTAGAGGAGCTGAGCAGCTCCTTTGGTGAAAGACTTTTACAAACTGTTTGTTAAAAGAAGCACTACCACAGGTCAATTATCCCTGCTGCAACCAGACTCTACAATTCAACACTACAAAGACAATAACCTGTGCAATGTATAATGTGCAATTACTTTTTAATACACTGTGCAATAACCTGTTTCTCTATATTTAACACCCAGTGCAATAACTTAATATATATAAATATAAATATACATCTATATAAATATTAATGTAAACACCTTGTGCAATAACCCTGTATAATAATCGTACTAAAAAAAGAAAGAAAGCTGTCATATGTGGACGTACTGTATATACTGTATATATCGCATGCAACTTTTTCTTCCTTTGGCACATTCCTCTTCTCCTTTGACTATTTAAGCAGATGTAACGAGTAAATGTATCCACTGTGAGATCAATAAAGTCAAACAATCAATCAATAAAATTTTGGTTGTCATCGTTCAGAGCTCAACGACGACAAAAAATATGTTCAAAGACTATTTTTGGACGTACAAAAGATTAAATATTTTGATAAATGATTGGTTTATTTTGCTTCAACTCAAATGGCAAAACAGGTTTATGTGTCATATTTATTATTATTGAAATTTTGCATGTAGTACATGCCTTCTCAGAAGAAGCAGGTAATGGGTGAATAGATGGATGCTCTTGTCATCACTAGTAAAAACAGCTTAGAACTCAAAGGCAAAACTTTTGCCTCTATAAGTCATCCTTTTTTTGCAAATATAACCAATAACAATTAAAAAGTTGCTTTGAGGTAGGTAGATTTCAGATTGCTATAGATTCATTTTTTTTCTGAAAGCATATGGCTGAACAGAGCTTCTATCGTTCTGCATTAAAGGGAAAGAAGAAGAGTTTCAGCAATCTGATAACTGACAGTGTGAAAAATGTGTGAATGATTCTCAATGATTCCAAGTTTATTATTAGATACATAACAAATAGCCAAGTTCATACATTTTACACAACATCTTAAAGTTACATCTGAATAGAGCAAATCACAGAGGGTTACATTAGAACAACATTAAAATTGAATCTGATCATGATTATGTGTTGAGACCCTATGAATCTTCATAGTGCTAAAGGATTAGGAAAGGTTATATGTTTGCGTGTCGCCATTGGAAATATTTGTTGTTAACAATAATGGTTTTGATATGGGAGTGTTTGGCAGACAGAGGTACAGTGTACTACTAAAAAAAACAGTTATTTAATGATTAAAAACCACCATCTTTGAAGTTTTATTTGCTCTGGATTTCACCAGCGGGTCAAGAATTAAAAATGAGTAGTTTTACTGCAGTTATCCAGACATAATACCCAGTTGAACAAATAGATTCTAATCATTGTTACTGAACTGGGACTGCCTTTATGCTGAGTTCAACTCAATAAGTGCAACCTAAAAGCACACTATAGAGCAAAAGAAAAGCAATAAACTTAATAAGTGGCATGAAAACCAAAGAAAAAATCTATTTGATCGCAAAGTCAGGCTAATAACCTAAGATTTTTTCAGTATTTACATGAAAATAAATATTTCAAATAATTATAGAAAACATCATACTGCTTAAGTATTGTTGAATGATTACATTTGCCTTCACTGTCTAATTTTAGGAATGTTTTGTTGATGTTGCACCCAGGAAACAGTTTAAAAAAGAATTCCAGCTGAGAAATACAGTCTATTATTTCCAATTGTATCATATCATATCATACCAGTTGACCATGTCAGATTTTGTCATAGCTTTTTGTAACATTTGCTATAAAAAGGAAATATATAAAATTGTATTAACACAGTGACTCAAAATAAATTGTATTGTATCACATTATTTTGCATCATATCATACTGTATTATATTGAATTAAAATAATGTATTAAATCATACTGAACTACACTGTAGCCCACTGGAAGTTAAGCTTAATGTTTTATCCTACTGCATTGTTTTTTCTAGCATTATTCTGCTTTTATTTTTTTCATAGCAAATTAAATTTAGTTAATTTGGGTAGTATCACCTTATACTGTTTCCTGTATATTACATTATATTGAAAGACCTCAAACTGTCTTATTTCAAATGGTCTGAAAATGACATGTATCATTTATCAACTGTCGTAATGTAAAATTGCATCATATCATATTATATTGTACTGTATTCCATCACATTGATTTAATCACATTATATTGTACTGTATTAGATTTTATCTCCCATTTGTTGAAGTTAATTGGATTTTTTTTCGGTTTTTGGACACTTCTGTGAATACGCATATTTGTTGTTGTAAAATAAATATATGGTTAAAAAGGAGTAAAGACAAATTGAAGAGAACAATGTACATTGTAAGGCTACCTTTTTAAAGTAGTTTACCAACTTAAAGATCCTTTAACAGTCCTTTAACAGCACAAATCACACCAGCAACGCTACATATGATCCCCAGACTCAGTATAGCCACATCTATAATCCGATCCTGCACAGTGAGTCGCATCCACTGCAATTTGAGATGAAATAGAGATGGAAGTATGAGTGTCATTGCTGCTCCGGTCACACTCCCAGTCAGGCCCATTAGCAGAGAAAACCTGGGCACTAGCATGGACAGTAGGTATGACGACACCAACAAGGCGCCACGGACCATGAGAGTTGGACAAGAAATGCCATGACTTGTCTGTTTGGAAGAAGATGATAGGGAAGCATCTGGAAAGAGATCGAAGGAGAAAGGTTGGAAAGAGTTGCAGTGATGTTATTGGTGGCAAGCCTTACTGACCCAAACAACTTTTCTCTCATAGTTTCATTGGAATAACGTAATGCAACTCCTAAAACATAAATTATAAAAGTAACTTGCAGTAATATTGGGTGTTTAGTTAATCAATTAGGGGATGTTTAAACTCTTTGTTCAGATGCTTTTTTTAAATATCACAAATAAATGTATATCTTTTTTGCTACATTAAACTTCACCAAAACCAAAAATAGCCCTGTAGAGTAGGGAATAATTGTCCAACAAAGCCCAACTTTTGATAAAAAAAATGAATGATTCATTCTGTATACAAGGGTGGAAACTACCAACTCCCACTGCCCTACTGAGAGGGGCTTTATTTAAATAATTCACAACAAATTTCAACTAAAGGTGAAAAAAAATTATCTAGTTTTATACAGAAACACTCTAGAAATTCATTCTGATCACATAAACAGATTAAAAGTTAATCACATAAATTGTTCAACAATCCTAGTAATTAGACAATCATGTCAGGTTGAGTTATTATTCAAAAATGGTAAAACGTTTTCTGTCTAAAATAACCAGCAGATTACATTATGGTGTTATAACTGCTGCATTTACTTAAACAACCATGCTTGTAGTAAAAGGGGAGAAAAGAAGCCCCCTTTAACAGGATAAAACCTCTGAAACCTGGCTCTGGGTGAGAGACCTTTTGCTGTGGATAACTAGGAGTTTGAAAAGTGGCAGGTAAATTGGGCTGATTCAAACACCGCAGAGTAGGATTCATAATGTGAACAGGACAACATCATGCAATATCCTTTGACTGGCTCAGGGTACCAATGCCTTGGAGCTACCACAATACTGCTGCAAATGCCATTGAGTTGAAGCAGATTATCTGAGTGACATTAGCCTGCTAGTCCAAATCGATGGGTAAAATCCAAGCCAAGGAATTAACCTGAGGCTGTTTATTATAGCTGTTACAGTATCTTCATGTCTTTAAGTTTGACAAGAATGAAAGTACAAACATCAAACTTTAGAATAAGCCTTAAAACATTTTTAACAGAATATTCATTTTGTGGAGCATTGCTGAAATAAGTGATTTTTGTAAAAGAAAATTTCCTGGCTGTCTCACCTCTAAGAAACCATGTTTGAAGAATCTCAGCAGCAGAGTAGAAGGGCAGAGGGAAGGAAAGAAGAGCTTTAGCTAGGAGACACAGATTGACAATAGGCCGAAGGTTAAGGGGCAGGTTGTCAGTGATAACTTCACTGGTCTCTGACCCCCAAGTCAACACCGCCTATAGGGAAGAACAATGAAAAGATAGTCTTTACTAGTGTGTCCTCTTTATGTTCTATCGATATCACACCTGATGTTGGAAAGGGCCAGATCTGGTAAGTATTTATCTATTACAATTTTCTTTTTAGAAGCCACCACAAACTGTCATTCAGTGTATATAGAGATTCAGCATTTGCACCTACCAGTAGTGAAAAAGTGGTTTTCATGATACATGCAACTCCATGGGTCCAACCCAACATGGTGTCAAACTGCCCTCTGACCTCCATGCTGCCTTCTAGGGAAGGTAGGAAGATCTGAGAGGTGTAGGAGAAGATGATGACACCTACTGAGACAATGAAGTCTTCTGGGTCCACAGACAGAGAGAGGGAGGACCAGGACCAGTATCTGGCACAACTCAGGCAGTACAGTATTACTAATAGGCTGACAAGGAGACAAAATATAAAACAAAAAGGGTCATTGACAATTTTGAACATTTTAACAAGTGTACAAAACATGCTCTACTGGATCATTACAATTTCCTTAGCCTGGAATATTTCTCTTATTGTTGGGGTGTGTTTTTAAGCATAAACTTACCCATGTCAGGGTTCTGGCCTTTGTTTAGATTTCTTTTTAAACTGTAGTTGTTTTCTGGCTGTGTTGTGTTTTCTGTTAATCTCTATTGCCCCCTTGTGCT